TTTCTTCCTTTTCTTCCTTTTCTTCCTTTCTAACAATTACAAAAAAATAAGCCACTCATTACGTAATGGTAAAGTAGAGGGAGTAAAATGGATTGTTGGGAGGAGCCAATTGAGACAGTAGTTTTAGCTTCAAACTTCTGCCTGGTAAAATGGGGAGGGGTTCACTCTATAGCATTGTGTGGAAGTACCAGCTTATTGTTAAAAAGTAGACCTGAAGATATATATTTGCTGAGCTTTTTTCTTTCTCATTGGCAGAGCTGAATGTGATTTTACACATTCTTATCTTATCAGATCTTACAGGCCTGTAAGTATCATTAAAGATCTTTTACTTACTGCAGTTCAAGATTTGTTTCCACATATGTTATTTTATCACATTGTGATGACTTCTGCCACTGAAGTCAAGGTCTTTTGTGGGTTTTGTGCGAGCTCGTTCAAAAGCTTTAAGGGCTAAATGCAAAAAAAGAGAAGTAGAAATCTTGAAAAATCAGGAAATGCAGAAGGACGTTTTCTAACAGTTTTTTTTACTCTATCACGTAACACAATCTGGATGCTTTATGGTATTGTTTCATTACAATATGACAAGCAGTAATATATATTAAGCTAAACATTTTACAAAAGGCACAACAGAATCTGAGATGTTGCAACATACCCGAGGTGTCAGCACTGTTACAAGTCTAATGCTTATTTCAACTGGGCACCTTAAAACATTGCACTCTGTTTTTTTTCTTTTAAGCACACATTTCTATCATTAGCATTTAGAAGCAGAAGTCTCACACCAGTTTTCTAATGAGCTGCTTAACTCCTTATTTGTTCAGTTTGTAATTCAAAGAGGTATTATAGCTGTTGAAAAAAGGGAGCTTTCTCTGTTTCCCCATCCCATTTACTGTCAGAGTTAACACCAGTTGGGCTAGCGGTATCTCCTCTACAGTATATGAAATGTAAGATTTCTACATTTCCCAGAGATTGATGGATAGGGAGGAGGCAATTTCACAGAGCTTTAATTATTATTCATTATTTATGGAGCTTAACTCCACCAATGAACTTAAACAGTTTTACTTTTCTCACAGAATTCCTTTTCTGTGAGTGCTCCTGCACCCAAGGTTTCTCAGCATTCTCTGTTTCAGTCAAACATTAGTGAAACTTTGGCTCATTTTGCTTTTCAGGCATGTTTGCATTCGACTTTGCTTGCATCTTAGCATGAAGTGATTGCACCTAAAGAAAGCAAACGTACACTTTGAATGACCCAGAATGTTGTAGCATTAGACAAGCCAAGCAACCAGAAATTGTGTCACAACCCCCCAAACCATCTTAAAAAGTGCGAAGGTGTTCTCTTATTTTCTTTTTTTTTTTTGGTTGTTTGCTGTTAACAAAAGGTTTAAATGCAGTTTCTTTTGCTTGTCTTCTGGTTTCTCTGCCTTCAAGCTGTCTTTTTTTTTTTTTTTGCTTTTGGAAACCACAGGGTCTAGTAACTGACTTGAATTCCTTTGATTAAAACATATTTAATCTCTTAATCAAGAAGCTGAAACTTCAAGAAAAATGCACAAGACTCAAGTTACAAGAGCAAGTAACACAAATTCATTAAAACATTGCATTTCTAAATACAGAAAACCTCCAAAAGAAGGAGAATTCATCAGGGTTTTTTTTACAGGACATTGCAGTATTTTTGCAAGTAAGCTAGGAACCAGAGAGAAGAAGTACTTCTGTTGCTTTGTCTTGCTCTGAGCAGAATGAAAACCTACGTGTTTAAGTTCAAAGATTGCTTTGGGGCAGCTTTGGCTGATGGCCTGACTTTGCTCTCAGCTGGTAGCACCCAGGCTGCAGTTCCAGCAGCAGCCTAGGTGGATGTCTCTCAGCACAGCAGTTTCAGGCTTGTGCTGCGCAGTGACACAGTGATCTCTGTGAACTGTAGCTCTGTGGTTAAAGTTTCCTATTCAGTATACCTGTGTTTAAAGGGAAGTGCTGTACCACCAGCCTGAAGTGCTGGCTGCACTACAGTTGCAGCTCTGCTTCTGCCGCTTATTTCTTTTTTGCCCCTTTTCTTGCTTTATTCTTTCCCTGCCACCTTTGGAAAGAGAGGTCCCTTCCTCCGTGGTCCTGGCTCCCAGTCAGAGGGACACGGAGCGCTTCCTCTTCCTTGCAGTGTACTCCCCTGCGATGAAATTGGATAAGGAGTGGCTCAGGCGAGTGTCCAAGGTGTCAGAGATGGTGCTGCCGCTGCTGGCTTTCACCCACGGACACAGGCACCTGAGCATGGCTCTGCGGATGTAATTGTCAAAGCAGTAGTAAATGAAAGGGTTGGCACAACTGTTGGCAAAGGCAAAGGGGCTGCTCACCGTCATGCCCACCTGGGCAACCGTGTCAAGGAAACAGTCAGGCAGCTTCTGCAGTCCCAACAGGATGGCCATAAGCTTGAAGAGGTTGAAGGGCACCCAAGAGATGACAAAAGCAGCCACCACAATGAAGACGATCTTGATAGATTTTCTCAGCTTCTTGTCGTGTTTCCCAGATCTCTGGTAATGGACACAGAGTCTCTTTGTGATGGAGCAGTAGAAGGTCAGAATGCTCAACAGCGGGAAGAAGAAGGCCAGGATTAAAATCATCAGTGATGTGATCTGTTTGGATTCTGTCACGTCTTTGTCTGTGCAGTACATCTTGCCGTAGCGCTCATTCAGTTCTCTGGACAAAAGGGTTGGTATCCCTAAGCAGCAGGATAACAGCCAGACGCAGAAGCAAAGTCCACTGGAATAGGATCTGGTTCGGACCCTTCTAGCAATGGAGGGATACATGATGGCAAGGTACCGGTCTGCACTCATACAAGTGAGGAGGAGGATGCTGCAGTACATGTTGACTGAGATGATGTAAGAACTAGCTTTACAGAGGAAAGATCCTACCCTCCATATCCCATCTGATGCCTCCTTGTCCACCCAGAATGGCAGCGTGATGAGGAAGATGAAGTCTGAAGCAGCAAGGTTAATGATGAAGATGTCAATCAGCCTCTGGACCCGTCGCTTGAAGACTAAGGCTACGATCAGGATGGAGTTGCCAAGAATGCCCACCAAGAACACGGCAGCATACAGGACAGGCAGGACAGGGAGGAAAGCAGTCATATGCTGTAGCTGCTCGTACTGGCAGCTGTCCTCGTAGTAGTAGTCATCATAGTTGAAAGTGACCGTAGTCACAGGCGAAAGCTGAATGAGATCTGTTTCTGGCCCAGCTGTCCTCATCTTGAGGCTGATGAAGGCTCTGAGCTCCCCTCTTCCCTTCCCCTCGTGGTCCTCTTTAAAAACATGCTAGCATGTAACGGGGAGGAGTGGGGGAGGAGGAGAAAAGTGGTTTTGGGGTGTAATTCTTACCCTTTTAGCCAATCGTGTAGGAAACAGACAAGCGATGAGCATCTCTGATTAGTCAAAACCCCATCTTCAGAACAAGGAGCTGCTGCTTTTTTAAAGTTAGATCTGATTTTATCTGTATTTTATATTTGCTTGTAGAAGCAATCTGGGTTTGGGTTTTGCTTTTATTTTGGGGGAAGGAAAGTTGTTTTCAAGATTCTGAAGTTTTAAATTTTTAGGACAGGATATTACTTGTGTGCAGGTTAGAGATTATACCAGCTCAGAAGAAATCAGGGAGTGGTGAATTTGGGCTCTACTTTCTTTATCTTTCTTTGCAAGCTCAGCTTTTCTGAGGCTTGGAGGCATTTATATTTTCTTTATTCATTTATGATTGTTCTCTGTAATTCTGTCATATGAATGTGCTTAGGCAAAAATATTTAAAACTGTGGTCTCCTGTACTTGTTCGGTATCCATCCCTGGCTCACGCTGCCCTGCCAGTGCCCCCTCCTTTCCCTCAGCCCCCAGATCTCCCACCTGGGCACTCCCACACTCAGATTTACCAATCTGTTTGATATTTAGAGGACAGTTTGTTGATGTGCCATGATTTCTTCTGCATTTCAAACCCTAGCTTGATCAGCTGAACGGTGGCATGGTCCTGCTCCTCCTGCCTGTGAAGCCTCCACATCTTTGAGCCATTCTTAGCTATGGCGTTCTTTTCCAAAAAGCCCCAGTTTTTTCCATCTTTCATTCACAGTTTCACCCACTAGTCCAGCTTTGGCTTACCTTACAGTCAGCTCTCTCAGCGTTGCAAAACGCAAATGAAAATTTTCCCTTTTTCAAGTACTGAATTTATCACGACTTTGTCAGTGCGTGCTAATTTCAAACATCTTCTGGTCTGCATCATCCTTTCTCTCTTCTGCACATCAGTTCAATTTCTCCTTCCCCTCCCACCTGCGTGTTCCCAGACCTGTCATGTCTTTGGGATTTTCAAACTTTGAGCAAACTGCTTCCTGGAGAGCTGTCCAGGCGTGTAGGCCACATCCACGTACATGCACATGTCTCCATAGGCTGAAAGCAACTCAATCACACAGAGCAAATCAGTCTCATCCAGTGCACTGTGGATGCCCTCAGGATCACTCTGCCAGTGCTGAGGTTACGTGCTCCAGTGTGCTGGGTTCTTGTTAGACTTCCAGGTGCCTGGACAAGCAGCCAGCTGCTGTTACATGCATGGTTGTCAGATCGAGAGATATTTAGACGGGCACTCGCACGCCTCTATATGCTGATGATTAATAAAGAACCAAGTATATACAACAGCCAGTTATATACACCATCAGTGGGGCACTAATGAACTCTCGCTGATGGTTTTTCATGGAATGAGTAAGGATTTAATTATCTGAGTGTTGTTCACCCATAGAAGCCTCCGTGAGAAAAGATCAAGGTGTATAAAAAGAGACTGGCTTACATTACCCATTTGTATCCTGTAACCCTATGTGGAACTGTAAACCTGAACAGGCTAAAAGTCATCTTTTAGCCATCTTTGCCAAGCATCTGAAGATAATAAAAGATGCACCTACTTTTCAACTGGGGTTATATAAAAGTGCCCAAATGTCTTGCAGTTTACAGAAATGATTCTTGATGGATTCATTGCAGAGGTGCTTTTGTGATCACCTTTATTTATTTCTACATTGAGAAATGTGCTTCAGTTTTATAATTCCAAGAAGATCTGAGAAGTGATATGGTAGAGACATTTTCTTTTTATGTGTGCTGGAGTAGAAGATACGTTGAACCTTCCAGTCTGTGTATAATAGCTTTTCCTCACTTGCAGTCACGGGCATCTGTTATTCTACTCTGCACTTAGATGCAGAGCGTCTTACATGCAGTCACAAGATTTATATATTAGGCATGAATTTCTCTCTCTTCACCTCACATCTCTATGTATTCCTTGAAATTGACTCCACCCTCTCTTAATCTCAGGGTACTCAAAAAAAAAAAAAAAAAAAGACTTTTAAAGAAATCTAATGAAACCACGGAGTTAAGTATATGCATGTCATCTATGCTTGTGCTTGTGGTTCCTCACTTTGTTGTAAAGGGGAGATATAAGAAAAAAGAGGAGAAACTCTTTAGTGGGATCTGTTATGATGAGACAAGGGGAAATGGTTTGAAACTAAAAAGGGAGAGATTTAGGTTAGAAATAAGGAAGTTTTTTTTATGGTAAGGGTGGTGAGGCACTGCAACATGTTGGCTAGGGAGTTGGTGGATGCCCTGTCCCTGAAGACATTCATGGTCAGGCTGGATAGGGCTCTGGGTACCCTGGTCCAGCTGTAGATGTCCCCGTTCATTGCAGGGAAGTTGGACTAGATGACTTTTAAGAGTCCTTTCCAACTCAAACAATTCTGTGATTTTACTTAAAACAAAACAAAACAAAAAAAATAATGGATGGGATCAGCTCTGTTCTTTGGAGTGTGCTCTGTATTTGCTGAATGCTCTGAAGAGAGTTGTGGCTGTTGCTGTGACTTCCATTTTACAGACATTGCCTCATCCGGACAGAGCATTTGCAAAGATATTGTGATGTGTCATGAATGATGAAGCCATCTGTAACTGTCTGTAAGTCTTGACTTTGTGTGTGTGTGTGTGTGAATGATTTGCATGAAACTTATCTTCATGCAGGGTCTGCCTCTTCCAGAGTTCATTTCTCTGAAGGAGAGCTAAGTTCTCATGAACATTCAGCACAAAGAAGCTCCCCTCGCAACTTTGCTGCTCAGATAATTCAGAAAGCCGAGCACATGATGCGCCAAGATCCCAGAAACGCAGCAAAATATGTTGTCACCAGGACAGCCTACACCTTCTCCTCACCCCCTTCCTACTACACCCCCATCATACTGTAGATGTCTACACTACTTTCCTCCCTCTCCCACTTCTCCCCAGATGAGTCTGCCTTTTTCCAGGGACAAAACGCTTTACTGAAGCAGCAGCCTCCAGCTTGGCTTTGGTGTGTTTTTCTCCAATTAAGGCACTCATCTTTTCCAACCTTTGCTACAGTCCCATTGAGGCAATGTGAAACATGCAGCCGCCGGATGCTGAGTTGTTTTGAACATGAGAATGAACCTGAAGCTTTTGTGATCACACACTTGTGACAGGTGCTGCATTTGTGGCCATGCATGTGGTCTGTCCTGCTTCGGCACATCTGCTCTCATGGTCCCACTTTTCTAAAATGCACTTGTGAAGCATGTTGCGTCAGTGTTTGCACCATTTTCTTAAACCTTCCTGGGGTCATTTTACTGAAGGCAACTGCTAGATAGGTACAGCAGGACAAATTAAAATACAATCCTACTCTTGTAAAGCCTCAGCAGTTTTTCTGGCAGTAGCAAGGGAGAACATTTCACATAACCGTTCTCTGATGGGTAAAGCCTGCGGCACATGTTATGGTAGCCTTCTAGTGCAATGGCAAAGTGAGTAAAAGATGCACAGCAGAACTACATGTACAGAAAGTGCTTTTACGTAAGCACGGGAATTTAGATCAGGGTGAGGTATGCATCAGTAAAGCATTAATGACAATAAATGCTGAGAAGGAACACAGCTTCATTTGGCCATAAAAGAAAGTGGAGTAGTTTCTAAATGATTGTGCTTCAAAAACCTTTTGTAAAGAACAAAGATTTGTAGGCCAATAAAAAAAGATTGGCTGAAACTGCCTTAGTATGTTGTAGCCATGGTGGAGACAGGCTCAGAGGAAACCAGATGAGTGCCTACCAACAGAAGTTGAACCAGTACACCGAGATGGGCTGAAATAGTTTCCAATCTGGAGCAACAATCTCCAATGTGGAGTATGGGAAGAAAACACTTTTTGGTACAATTACTAAATAAAAATATTTTTTATTCCTTTTTAATTTCTATTTTTGTGCGTGTTTTATAATATATTATTACAGTAGTGAGTGTATGTTATTTTTAAATAAATATACACATAATAGAGTGCATGCTCAAATGTTTTTCTCTGATTGAAGGGCACAGTCAAAAAAGTTTGGATACTACTGAATGAGTGGATTGGAAGGGACCTTAAAGCCCATCCAGTTCCAGCCCCCTTCCCCTGGGCAGGGTTGCCACCCACTAGATTGGGCTGCCCAGGGGCCTGTTTGGATGAGTGGATGTCATTAAAGCAAACTGGTTCTGCTCAGATTTGAAAGAAGTGTATGTGGAAAGTCTTATCACTGTGAAAATTAGCCTTAGCTCTTCTGTGCCATGCATAGAGAACTACAGAAGGCAAAAATAAAACCAGGGAGACAATAAAAAGGTTTGAGGGGAACCTGGGGGATTTCTGCTGCACTATCTGTGTGAAGTGCTTATGAAAAACTAAAGCCACCATTTTTATTATTTCAGAGAGATTTGAGAGAGGCAGTATCTTGTAGAAAACCAGCTAGTGTTACTGGGAAGACTGGACAGTCTTTGAACCTCTTTTTCATAGAATCACAGAATGACCTGGGTTGAAAAGGACCACAATGATCATCTGATTTCAACCCCCCTGCTATGTGCAGGGTCCCCAACCAGCAGCCCAGGCTGCCCAGAGCCACATCCAGCCTGGCCTTGAATGCCTCCAGGGATGGGGCATCCACAGCCTCCTTGGGCAACCTGTTCAGTGCGTCACCACCTCTGTGTGAAAAACTTCCTCCTAATATCTAACTTAAACCTCCCTTGTCTCACTTTTAAGACCATTCCCCATTGTCCTATCACTATCCATGCACATAAATAGCTGTTCCCCTTCTGTTTATAAGCTCCCTTCAAGTACTGGAAGGCCACAGTGAGGTCTCCCCAGAGCCTTCTCTTGTCCAAGCTAAACAAGCGCAGTTCCCTCAACCTTTCTTCAAAGGAGAGGTGCTCCAGCCCTCTGATCATCCTAGTAGTCC